GGATGTGTTGGATTCAGCCTCCACATGCTTGGATGATTTCATCAATCAGATGAACAAGATCACAGGGAACTCCAAACCAGAAGATTACACCCCAGAACAGTGGGCAGCCAACTGGATGAAGAAGCTGGTTGAACCCCAAACCACAGGATTGCTCCCCATCCCTAAGACCACGAAGATCCCATGGACCAATCCGGATTGGGACCTCACCGCGGAGGATATCATAGTGAATTATGGCCCCCTAGAAGACCCCTGCTCGGCAGGTTGGTTCAAGACCCTCCTCCACCAGATATGGCAAAAGTCCGGCCAATATTTGGCCAAAAGATTTGACCTCGGAATTTGGGCGGCAAGAGCCGACATAGCGCACTCCCCAGTCATGCCCTGGGACATTCTGATTGCTTCCTCCTTCCGATTAGCTTACGAGCATGCTCAAATGGAGTCCTCCACAGAGCCACCACCTCTGCAGTGGCACCAAGACGTCTTTCCGTGGCTCATGATATGTTCGTTCGAAAGAGTCACTACCGACCTCTTCCAAACATTAGCCGAGGACATAGCGGATTTCCTCGACCAGGACGATACACTTATGAAGCTCATCACGGGCGAGGCCCCATACACCAACAAAGGAGCAGCCACAGCGGGAGGCTACGGCTCCCTCTTCTTTGATGCGCTCTCTTGGCAGTTAGCCGCGGTGCACGGAGTCCTTAGAGACAAGAAGGTATCCCAACTCCAGGCCCCCAATAATGAACTCGTTCTCTCGCAGGTTCAATAGGGATAAGACAGCGGTTCGACAACACCAAATTTTCTGTCAGGAGATGTTTCAGAGAATTTGGTGCTCCCGTCCTTCATTTGAATAACACAGGGGGCACCATAGAGATATATCATGATTCTGAACACGAAGGGGAAAAACGCTTGAGAAAATCTGGTGTTATTGAACCGCCCCTTGTCTGTCTCCATACTAGGTCAAGCCAGCGGTTCGACAACACCAGGTTTTCTGCAAGGAGATGTTTCAAAACATTTGGTGCTACCGACCTGCCCCTGCCTGTCCTTCATTTGAAGAACACAAGGGGCACCATAGTCATATCATGATATCGAACACGAAAGGAAAAACACATGAGAAAATCTGGTGCCATAGAACCGCCCGTTGTTTGTCTCCATACTAGGATAAGCCAGCGGTTCGACAACACCAAGTTTTCGACAAAGGAAGTGCTTCAGAAAATTTGGTGCTACCGACCCGCCCCGGCTTGTCCTTGATTTGAATAACACAAGGGGTCCCCCAAACATTCGCAATATCGAACACAAAGGAAAGATTGTTTGAGAGAATCTGGTGCTATCGAACCGCCCCTCGTCTCTCTTCATACTAGGATAAGCCAGAGGTTGGACCACACCAAATTTTCGACAAGGAGGTATCGAGTCGCCCCTCCTTGTCCTTTATTTGAATAACACAAGGGGTCCCCCAAACATAACACAATATCGAACACGAGAGGAAAGAAACGCTTGAGAAAATCTGGTGCTATTGAACCGCCCCCCGTCTCTCTTCATCTTGGATAAGCCAGCCGTTGGACCAGGCCAAATTTTCGACAAGGAGATGCTTCAGAAATTCTGGTGGTATGGAGTCGCCCCTCCTTGTCCTTTATTTGAAAAACACAAGGGGTCCCCCAAACATAACACAATATCGAACACGAGAGGAAAAAAACGCTTGAGAATATCTGGTGCTATCGAACCGCGCCTTGTCTGTCTTCATACGATATAGGATAAGCCAGCGGTTGGACAACACCAAATTTCCGACAAGGAGATGCTTCAGAAGATGACAGGAGAATTTGAAGGGTCAAAAATGGTTGTTTTCTGAGACTTCTCACCAGGAAATTCATCCCCAAACGGAAAGAGCCCATTGAAAGCTGGAAAATGGCTCGGAATGCAAGTAACTCTAGTACAGAAATCGCTGTTTTCTGAGCACCTCGAATCGCCAGGAAATTCATTCCCAAATGGAAGGAAATCACAGAGGAACCGGAAAATGGTTCTGTTTTCAATTAGCTCTAATACAGAAATCGACGTTTTCAGAACCGAGAGAATTCACCAGGGAATTCATCCCCAAACGAGAGGCAAACCAGGAAAGCCGGAAAATGGTTCCGTTTTCACTTAAATGTGGTACAGAAATCGCCTTTTTCAGAGCCTGTAGAAGCGATCAAGAAATTCATCCCCAAATGGAAAGCTGGAAAGTGGTTTCGTTTTCAATTAACTGTAGTAAGGAAATCGTCATTTGCTGAGCTTCTAGAATTGGCCACGAAATTCATCCTCGAATCAAAAACTGGGCTCTCCTGTGGAGCATCCGGAAATTCTGAACAAAATTGCGCTCCCGTGCGGAGCATCCTGAAAATTGTGAAAATTATTGCTCCTGTGCGGAGCATCCTCGAAATTTCGTTATTTCTTCATCAAAAAACCGCACTCCTGTGCGGAGCATCCTTCAACTTTCGTCGTGTTTTCATAAAAAACCGTGCTCCCATGCGGAGCATCCTCAAAATTCGATCGGTATCAAGGTTTATCAGACAAATATATCTAGGGGGTGATAGGCCCTATAAACCGTCAAGTAAATTTACATGACGATTTTTGAATTTCGCCTTGTCTCATTGTCTCAAAAGACTTCATTGATGACAGCCAAAGCCCATATAAGGTCAAATCGCAAGCAGTGTCCCCCTAAGATTTCTCAGAGAATCAAGTCCGCAAATCTCAAATCGCAACGGGTGTCCGCTAAGGTGTTTTCAGAGAATCATCTATTTAATCTCAAATTGCAACCAATGTCGCCCTAAGGTGGTTTCAGAAAGTGATCCCTAAATCTCAAGTCGCAAAGGGTGTCCCCACAAAATTTTTCGCAGAATCAAGTCCCCAAATCTCAAACTGCAAAGAGTGTCTCATAAAGATTTTTCGGAGAAAGGCGTCCCCAAATCTCAAATCGCAAGGGTGTCCCCACAAGATTGTTCACAGAATTAAGTCCCCAAATCTCAAATCGCAAGGATGTCCCCACAAGGTAGTTCAGAGAATCAAGTCCGCAAATCTGAAATCGCAACGGGTGTCCCCCTAAGATTTTTTCTCAGAAACGCATCTCCAAATCTCAAATTGCAAGGGGTGTCCCCCTAAGATTTTTCAGAGAATCAAGTCCACAAATCTCAAATCGCAAGGAGTGTTCTTTTATAAGAGTTTCACAGAATCAAGTCCCCAAATCTCGAATCGCAAAGGGTGTGCCCCTAACATTTTTCAGATAAATGCGTCCCCAAATCTCAAATCGCAAGGGGTGTCCCCCCAACATTTTTCAGAGAAACGCGTCCCCAAATCTCAAATCGCAAGGGTGTCCCCACAAGATTGTTCACAGAATGAAGTCCCCAAATCTCAAATCGCAACGGGTGTCATCCTAAGAATATTCAGCGAATCTAGTCCGCAAATCTCAAATCGCAAAGGGTGTCCCCACAAGATTGTTCAAAGAATCAAGTCCCCAAATCTCAAATCGCAAGGAGTGTCCCCCTAAGATTTTTTCAGAGAAATACGTCCCCAAATCTCAAATTGCAAGGGGTGTCCCCCTAAGATTTTTCAGAAAATCAAGTTCCCAAATCTCAAACCGAAAGGGGTGTCCCCACACGAATTTCCAGAGAATCAGGTGGCCCAAATCTCAAATCGCAAGGGGTGTCCCCTCTCACCTCTGCACAAAACATGCTGGCAGCCTGTTTGAACCTGGCGAAGACTCAGGGTCAGCCGGGGTGGACGTACAGGGCAAAGTAACCAAGGAGCCTTCCAGCAAGGAAAAAAAGCAATCAGTCTCCTGCGAGAAATGTCATTTTCAATTAAAGGACCGATCTGTTTGAAATGATATTAGGATGCCGTCGCCCGCCGGAATAAAGAAGAACAAGAAAACTAGACGAAAACCGGGGAAATCGTTCGCTGAAAATTCTTAGGGGGGCACCCCTTGCGATTTGAGATTTGGGGACTTGATTCGCTGAATAATCTTAGGGGTACACCCCTTGCGATTTGAGATTTGGCGACCTGAATCCTTGAAAAAATTTAGGGGGACACTCCTTGCGATCTCAGGGGACAGCGTGTGCACTGATACCATCATGGAGTTTCTGGTTCCTTCTTACACCTCTTGGCGCGCACGGTGACTTTTGGAATCCGCTGGCAGGCAGATTTTTTAGGCTGATCTAGTGCCTGGCCAATGCGATGCTCGTGGAGCATCAGCTCACCTGTTCACGGGGAAGATCCGATTGTTCGTGGCTGCACTTGCCATGTGGGCTTAGCTGTCCCAGCTTCCCTCAGGATCTGCCACAGCATTTTCGCCGCCAATCAAAAAAGTGAGTTGCATTATGTTGTTTTTTTGGAGTCACTTGTGAGTTATAATATTTGTTTGGTTTCCAAATATTCTGAGTTGATTGATGGAAGATTTTTTTTCGTTAGTTTCGCTCATGAAGTTTTACGAGTGGAATGCAAACGGGTCTGTAAAACGTGTGTGTTTGCTGCAAGCTTCCTTGAGGCTGGAGCTCTTCATCTTTGTTCGCCTTGTCCCACAGCTCAAGCTTCTCCCTTAATCCCCAGGACCACTGTGGCTTGCCAGATCTCTCCATGACGTGTGCGATGGCTGTGACGTCGCGCAAGGCCTTCTGGGCCGCACTGCTGATCTCAGGATGCCCGGCAGGTTGAAACTGAAACACCGATTTTCGGCTATTATCAAAAGTTGGAGTGATAGGGTTTAGGGTTTAGGGTTTAGGACTAAATCCCGTCATTCTTTCCTCGCTTGTATATGAGTGTTTCACGAAGGCCAGTCCGCCCGCGCGTTGTGAATTCCATCGACTTCGCGGGCAGTTTCCTGAGCCTCCTGACAGATACCCTGATGCTGGGATATTCATGAAAAGAATTTTCCAATTCGTGTGGACCATATAATCCGTATATATCCCCCCACATTCACACAAAAAAAGAATTCGTTATGGGCCCCTAAATGTATGCCAGGATCCCCGAGTGCCGCAATGAGATCCCCTCGATGCTGGTCTGAGGGATGCGAAGCCAGGACTGGACTACTCCTAAAGACCTCCTTTTCAGTTTGTTGGCAAACCTTAGCATTTTAGTATTTGGTAGTGTCCCACAAGAGGACCTCAATATAGACCCCAGAATACTATAATCCTTAATATTGGGACCCCCAAAAAAGTACCCCTAATTTTGGGAAACCCTCAGATCCGTTTTGAGGCAACTTGATCTAAGTTCCTCAGCAGAGGAAAGAGATGGCCAAGTGCATCGGTGAGAAGTGTGACGAGCGGTGGAGGTCGAAATATGGGATCCAGGCCGGGCATTTATAGTAAATTATAGTATATTATGGGTTATATTTGGGTCATATTGGGATAATGGAAAAGAAAATGGAATCTACTATTTTGGGTAGTATGCCCAGGAGTTTGAGGGTACGGGGCATTTGCAAAAGGGACCAGTCCATAAGCAGAAGGCTTTCAAAGCCCCCGAGTGGCAACCCGACGGAGCACCCCAAGTCGATTTTTGCAGGTTCAGAATTCCCTAAACCCTACACCCTAAACCCTAAACCCCTAAACCCTAAACGCGGAAAAACAGTCAGGTTGAATATTTTGCAGCTCTGGGAGTTCCTTTAAACTGGGGACCCCAACATAGACGCCATTATTGTGTAATTCCCGCCATGGGGACTCCCAACAGATTCCGAAAGTCCCAAGCCCTAAAGCAGAAACCTGTAATCCACCCACCAGCTCCGTATGCACCAAGGTTTATGTGGGCTCGCATGCTTTGGGACAGTGGATGAAACTGTTGGGCAGCTGGGCCCTCGTGACGTGGGGCGAACCTAGGCTTTCTCAAAGCAGCCGCGGTTTTCTTTTTGGGAGGTGATTTCATGCAACAGCAGTATTAAGACAGTACCCTAAACCCCAAACCCTAATAGCAATGCTAGTAGTCGTATTAACAACAGGAGTATCATAACAAGACTAACAGTGTATTAACTTCAACATCCGGTTTGGATGTGAGGGACAAGGAAGGCTCTTCACTGTGATTTGGCCGTATGGTCCAAGACACTTCTTTCGGCTTAGCATGCTTATCATTGTACCAGGACCTTCCTAGTACCCTTATTTGGGGATATATGGTCCCTAATAGTGGGTACTTAGGCCCTAATAGAGGGTAGGAGGAGGGTCTAGGTAGTAATGCACTGGAGCCAGGGAAGCTTCGGCTTTATGGTCTACAAAAGCCCTATCGCAATCTCAGGATGAGCTCTGGATATCGCTGTACCGCGTGCCGTTTCCCAAGAAGTCTAAGGACCCGCTGCCACCCCCCAGGTCCAAGGACCCAAAAGACTACGTCGCGCAGAGTGGTGGCCGGAGCACTGAAAATCTCCTCCCTCCCCCGCAATCAAAGGATCGCGTTGCCCCGCTCTATCCTGTGCAGGACAAGTTGCTCATGACCTCACGTAATTTCTCCTGAAGCTGTATGTCTCTATATTCTATCCTTGCATATTTGAGTACATCCCGGTAACCCGTAACGTCTTCAGTGGTACCGCTACCCCCTGAGTTGAAGGACACCACCTACTCCAAGGCTCCAGTCCGACCTCCGATGTCAAAACATCCGCTGGCAGACCAAGAACTTCTCCCTCCTCCGCGTCCGCGGTCAAAGTAGCTGAATGTGGCTACGCGGTGGATGGAGGAACTTAAGATCCTCAGAAGGTCCCTAAACCTCAAACCCAAAATGGGAGGTGCAAGATCTCCTCCATCCACAAAAGGGTTCGACCTGTGAGCTCACCTGCAGCAGTCTGATGTTGGAACAAAAGCGCGAGAGTTGAAGTCGCATCATTGCAGCGTGAGCCTGAGCCCCAAAACGCATCCGTCTGAGGCTCCTAGGCCCCGAAAGCCAAGCGCTTTTGTGTTGTGTGGACTGCTTTAGTTTTTTTTCATAGCCCATTGGAGGTGGTGAGCTGACCTATAGCCCAGCCCGGGCGTCACACACAGGAATATGTCCTGCCAGAAAAAGAAGAGAACGCTACCTTTTCACGTGCAGATGCCTGCAGGCATTCCAGGGCAGAAGATTCAGGTGAACTATAGTCTAAACCTAGACCCTCCTCCTACCCTCTATTAGGGCCTAAGTACCCACTATTAGGGACCATATATCCCCAATTAAGGGTACTAGGAAGGTCCTGGAACTCTTTAACAGTGATTTTAAAGCCTAAGCCCTTAACCATGTTGATCCTTCAAAGCGCTCGCCACGGCGGCTGTAGCCTGCAAGATTGAACTATAGGGATGGCATGGGATGGCGTTGTAGGGCTTTGGTGTTTGGGGTTGAGGGTCTAGGGTTTAGGGTTTAGCATTTAGGGTTTAGGGTTTAGGGATTAGGGTTTAGAGATTAGGGTTTAGGGTTTACGGTTTAGGGATTGGGGTTTAGGGATTTGGGCTAGCCACCCCAAACCCTGTATGAGCTGTAGTCTAAACCCCTTAATAGGGGATTGGATAGGGGAGCATTGCAGTTATTATTGGTGATACTAGGTGTTTAGACTAGCTCACATGTAGCGTAAACCTGAGCCTCTTTGGCGACCCTAAGCCCTGAACTGAACCCTATGAGCCCCGCACCGTATCGCTGAAATTTAAAAGTCTGGGCAACTATGGGAGCTCAATATATACCATTAGATCATGCCAGCTTTTGCAACAATAGCAGACCCCAGCCCTTCCTCCAGCTGGCTTTGATATCCCACATTTCGTGCCCCATCCATGAGGTTTTTTGACACTGAGGCCAACTCCTTAACCCCTAAAGCCTGACATCCTAGATCCTAAGCCCTCCTAAAGCCGAAAACCCGAAACCCTAGACTCTAGACCCTTATGGGCCCCTAATATGGGCCCTTAGGCCTTTTAGGGGGATTCTAGGGATCCTTAAGGGTACATATAGGGTATATAATAGGTGTACAAGGAGCTCAGGGTTAAGGGGCCCGTGGGGTTCAGGTTGGATACTGCCCCCACTCAGCAACAGTTGGAGAAAGCTTATAACATGGCTATATATAGCCCTTAATAGGACCCCTAATATAGACTGTTACTGGGTGGGGGCAGTGCCAAGGTCCACCACCTAAACCCTAAACCCTACACCCTAAACCCTAAACCCCTAAACTAACTCCGGTGAATTGCCACTCAAGCTTTTGGGCGTTACAAAGATGCCGTCTCCAACGTGAGCGTGGAGCAGGCCTGAGGGGATTCCATCTCTTTTTAGGGTTTAGGGTTTAGGGATTTAGGGTTTTAGGGTTCAAGGTTTAGGGTTTTAGGGTTTAGGGTGCAGGAGCTTTGGGTTTAGGGTTCCGAGAACCTCCAAAGTGGGTAAAACAATGGCCCAAAACCTTCCAACACAACCCCAAAAAGCCATGACTTTACATACTTGCAGGGTTTCAGGGATTCAGGGATGTGGAATTTTTTAGGGGATTGCCCCAAGCTCTCAACGCCTTGGCCTCAGCCACAAGCCCCTGGCTCTCTTGAAGCCCCGACCCTAAAGCCTAAACCTTAGACCCTAGACCTTAAGCCCTAGATCCTAAACCCTAACCCTAAACCCTACATCCTAAACCCTAACCCTGAACCCTAGACCTTCAGCCCTGGACCCTAAACCCTACACATTAAATCTCCTGACTTCGAGATCATGATGCTGGTGCTTCATGGTAACGATCCCGAGAGAACTGCGCTGTTGAGAGCTTCGTGTCTAGGAATAGGATGACTCTATACACAGAATACTACTAATCACCTTCCGTACTAGTAAACCTTCCCATCCCCAGCCCCTTGCAACAAATGTTCATTGATTATGCATCTGAACAGACAAGGGTTTTCTATGGGTGTGGTATACTTGCGAGGGGGGGAGGGTGTTTATTATCAGCACTGAAGCTCAATTTTTTGGGTAGTTTCCAATTTCTTTTCCATTGCCTCATATACATACCCTTGTATAACCCCCTTACAAAATTGCAGGGGGAAGCTACATGCACTGCCAGTCGGTCATTGGGAGGTTTTCGTGCTGAGTTCAGAAACCCTAAACCCTCAACTAGTGTTTAGGGTTTGGGGAGCAATAACTTTTTTGAGTCCTTACTTAAGAACTGCCCGCAAGCTCGCTCCTAGACTGTAAGCATGCAACCCAAGATTGCACAACTTAAGCCCGAGACCTTGTAGAGTATACCCCCCCTCCAAACTCCAAACGAGCAACTTTAAACCGTAGCTCCTGAACCGCCAAACACTAAATGGCCCTTAGCCCCAAACCCTAAACCCCAAAACCGTAAACCCTGATGTGGCGGTTTCCCGAGATTAGGGTACCCGTATATTATAATCCCTACTAAAGGGTCCCTCTAGTACCCCTAAATTCTAAACCCCAAACCCCAAACCTTATATAACCCCATATACCCTGACATGCCCCTGATATACCCTGATGTACCTCCTCTGACTCTGAAGGCCCCGTGGCAGCAATTGGCCATGAAGGGAATCCAGACCGTAAAGCGCCGGATCAACAGCGAGGCAACGGGTTGCGTGGTTTAGGGTTTAAGATTTTAGGGTTCATGGTTTAGGGTTTAGGGCTTAGGGTTTAGGGTTTAGGATTTTAGGGTTCAGGGCGTAGGGGTTAGGGGTTAGGATTCAGGGTCTACGGTTTTGGGCTTAGGGTTTAGTGGTCTGGAGCTGTGTGATTTGAATACTGTGATTGTTGTTACCCTCACCCCCGAACCAGGGCCCTAATTGTGGGCTTACCAATGCCGTCTTGTTCGGTTCAGGGTCTACGGTTTAGGGGGTTCTTGGGTTTGGGCTGCAGTGTTTAGGGTGTAGGGGATTTAGGGTTTAGGGTTCAGGCTTGATGGGGTTTTGGCTCGGCCAGGCAAGATGCAGGCAAATGTGCATAGCGATTTAAGGATTCAGGCTTTAAGCGTTTGGTTGGTTTGGGGAACCAAAGCTAAGGGTTTCAGATCGAGGGTTTCAGGTTGGATACTGCCCCCACTCAGTAACAGTTTGTGTTTACAGTTACGATTATACATGGCTCTTCATATTACCCGTAGACTCAAGTTCTAGGGTTAAAGACCTCAGGTTTCGGTGTATAGGGTTGAGCTTTCAGGGGTTTGAGGGTTCAGGGTCAAGGTGTCAGGGTCAGGATTTACGGTTGCGGGTTCAGGGTTATGGCAAGCGTTTGGGACATTTTGGCTGGCAATAATTGGGTTCAGACTTTGTTCGGTTTATGGTCATGGCTTCATTCTGGCCATATACAGGTGGGGGGGTATCTCTTTGATGGTTATTAGGTTCCGTGGTGCGCGAATAGCACGCACTTATTAGGTGGTATGGTCGGCCTATAGGAGACGACCAGTTGGGAAGTGGAGTAATACCTCTGCAATCCCTGTAGCAGTAGTCCTGATTCTTCAAGACCTCTCCCCTGTGAGCACCAACAAGTAGAGAGAATCATGAGGAGTTCTAGTTCCGTGGTTTAGGGTTTAGGATAAAGTATCTCAAATTCAGCACCAGTTGGGAAACTCCTACCCTCTCTTTCCAAATTTCTGCATGTGATATGCCGAAAGACGAGACAAATCGTGATCCCAATGTGCTAAACAATGTCTTGAACCCTACAGTCGTGTTTAGGTTTGGGCTTCAAACTTTCATGTGCTGAATGCAAGCCCTTTTTTCCTGGAGCCGGTCATCCCGCTGCTCTAGACTCAACTGTCCTCGAAATCCTCAACCCTAGACCCTATACCCTAAACGCTATACCCTAGCATGATGCCTAAGGGTCAACACCAGGGTCCTCGCACTGGGAGCCCACGCATACCCCCTCGAAAACGGTTTCTGTTTATGGGGATCTGCTGCAGGCAGACTCGAGTTGAACTTCTGTGCAAAGAGTCAGTATATAGGGGTTACATAGGGTTTGGGGTTTCGGGTTTTTATTGGGGTTATTTACTGGTTATCTTAGGGTTGTATTAGGAGGGCTATCACGAGGACAGTTTATGGTCAGAATCAGATGGGGCGTACAGCGAACATGTTTTAATCCTTGTATGTTGGGTACAGCAGACCTCCTTGACCCTAAGCCCTGCATCCACAGATGGCAGAGTTTCCCAAAACAGGGGGACCCAATATAGACCCCCACTTACTCCAGAAGGTACCCCTCTATTGGGAAAACCTCTAGCTGTATCCGTATGCATGTTCAGGAGACCCAGTATGCTGGTGAACCTGCTTGGAGCCCAGATTTCTATAGATGGTACTTTGAGGCTTTGGGTTTAGGGTTTAGGGGTCATCCGACCCCTAAACCCTAGACCCCCTATATAGCATGTTAGCGGATTTAAGGGGTTCATACTGAGGTTGGTAACCTACCGTCCCGTTTACATAGAAACCCTTTTATTTGTGCAAGCTATCCCAGGCCCACAGCCCTAAACCCTGTACCAGAAGCCTTCAGCGCTGAACCCCAATCCCTTCGCTTCAACCCTACACCCTAAGCCCTAATCCCGAAACAGGGTGAGTGGATTAGCGCTGCATGTAGGTTTACATTTGGGGTTTCGGTTTAGGCTTTTAGAAATTTTGGAGGCGGTCAAATCGAGATTCCTCGTTTTACGGAAGGATTCCAGTGACGTTCTCCAACCCTCAGGTTAACAGTTTTTTAATTTGTGGATACTATGGAACGCAAAATAGTGTAAGATTACATGT